AGTACAGAAAGCAAATACAAGGTCTTTTCTGGTTTGCTTTTCATTTTGATGAGCATATTGATAAAATATAAAAACATATTGATGTGTGCATCTAAGTATGTATCAGGAGTTCTAAAATCCAAGTTTAGATTCAAACTAGCATATGCAGCCTCCAAAATTTAGTCTTACATATTAGAAAGGAAACAATATACATCGATCTGCCATCTTTGCATGGCAACATCTATTTAGAAGTACTTCAAATAAAGTGTATGAATGCAGAAAAGATGCACGAATAACAAAGGTACTGAAGGAATATTATTTCAGCTTTACTTAACATGCTTCATTAATAGCCAATGCTAGAGAAACATTTCAACTAATTTAATAACACAGTCATTATATACTACTAAAGTGAGATTGAAAAGTACCTTGGCTAACTTATCTTTAGCACTAAGACCTATATATATTATGCTCGCCATCACTTCCATAAGGCTTATGAGGATGTTAGTGATACTTGGATCTGCTTGACTGGTAGGTCATCCACAGCAATCTATCAGCTGTTTGCTGTCAGCTGATAGTGAATTAGCTTTGTTATCTTCTGCAGTTGGGCCTTGCATACTTGAAAACAAGTATATTGTAGAACAAAAAGAACATTTTTAACTTCCAGGAATTATGGTGAATAAAAATCATGTATTTCACCTCAAACTCTGTTCAAAAGTCAGTGCRCTAACAGTCTGAAAAATGAACATCATTTTTACCTAGAAAAGACTGGAATCACTAGGCAAACATATTTTAATAGTCTAGGGTTGTTTCAAAAGGCAGCATACCAAATCAGGAAGCACTGGATATGCAAATTGTCTGAAGAAGTTCTATAGAAGTACCTGACAAAAAAATTATATTTTATGAGCTTTCCAATAACGGAATACAGAACTAGTCAGATGCCTGCTTTTCCTATACACAAAAAAATATGTGGTTTTCTGTAACACTGCTACTGGAGATCCACATATCCAATAAAATACAAGCTGAAGAGGAAAGCTGGCATGAAAAAGAAACTTACCTGGTATTTCATAAAAAAAGCATACAAGTCATAGGTTTATTTTAAACTGATAACATCTTGAAACTTTTAAATATTAAAAAAAACTTATCATTGTAGAATATAAAGAATGCACATGTTTTATTATCATTCTTTTATCTGACTAATGATGTCATTTACAACTGTAATTAACTGATATAGATTTTTTTTATAAAAATACTCTGAGAATAAACAAAAATTTCATGTGTAATACTTGCAATTTTCATATTACGGAAGCAAAAATACAAAAACTGATCCATTTAAAGACATACTAAAACAGCTCACAGGGGAGGACAGAAAACATACAAAACAATGATGGAACACTAATTTTGCTTAGCTTTCAGAACTAAAAGGGTTAGCAATTCATGTACCACAAGAATGTTTTAGAATACAACACCCTTGAACACAATATTTTCAGCATTTCAACTGCTGTCCAACAGTTCACTCTAATGCCACTGCCATTGACATCTGCACATAAATCAACTGCCTAGTCAAATCAGAACACTCCAAAAATGCCTTCCATAGAAGGCATATATGTACCTATACCAGAAGACATAATGTACCTATATAATCAGGACATGTATTTTCAGTGACAGCATGCAATATCTGCATCTTATTTAAGCGTAGTAATACTGCTGTTGAACTGAATTTTATGAAAATCTAATCCAACAAACAGATTTTAAAGATGATTTGCTTTTAATCATACTGCCAACATTTATGAGAAATTTTTTGAGAAATTAAATTTCTTGTCTTAATCATTTAAACTTAATTTTTCATATAAACATATTGTTATATGAAATTTTCCATTAGATGTAAAACCAGTCTTTACAAAGAAAATAAGGTTTTCATCTCCTTAGGACTTCACTACTTTCTGAATTTCTAATTAAAGGATGTGTTTCACAAGTAAAACTGTTATGGCAGCTCCCCTACGACCAAGGTTAACTGGAAATGTGAGTATACTTTAGTGCCTATATTTTGACTCTTAATCATATTTCTCCTTTTGCCTCTCTGGTCATTCCAGTCTAACCAGTCTATTTAGAGATTCATCTTCTTCCAATGTAAACCTGGCATGTGCTGTGGGGAATCCTTTGCTTCTCCTGTTTGTCTGGAACAGTAGTCTGAAAACGGAGTTTGCTGAGGACAACACGTATTTAATGAAGTAAATGTAGCTCTCAGAAGAAATTATGARCACTACAGAAAGCACACAGGTGAAATGTCTGTAGCACCCAAAAAAATTTCAAAATATACTTATCTTCTAAATATGTTATTCAAATTGTGACAAGAACTATCGTTTTTTTACTAAATTATTTGATTAAACTGAAAAAGCAGACAAGCCTTCAGGCTCACATACCTTTTACAGATTTGGAATAAAAGCAAGCATCTTCAAAAATCAACACAAGTTAGGAAAAATATTCTGCCTTTCAATCAACCAATAAATATCAGCAGAAAGACAGTTGGCATTAGTACAATGGAAGGGTGAGGAGTTGTCAGAGACTGAAATAGTTAATGCCTCAATCATTGATAAAAAGTTTTGCTCATTTTGCTCATAGCAATAACTGTATAAAGAAGCTACAACCCAAGAAGCCTCCCTGAAGATAGCTGACTGGGACTTTGCACTCTAAGTTTAGTCACTGAAATAAGACACTACTATTCAATTGTCTTATCCTAGGGAGAAGCAAGCAAGGTTGAGGAAAAGGAGTGCATCCACAATGAAACAAAAACAGCAGAGATTCTTCCCTGGCTAGATTTGGGGAGGAGGAAACCACAGCTCACAGAAGCCAGATTTACACAGACTCYGCCCTGAAACAGCGTGGGGGGAGGAGGTTTTGAGTATGACTTCTGGTCAGAGGCAGTGAACATCCTTTTCCTCCCTGATGCAAACTGGCCCAGGTGTGGAACCCCAGCCCCACAGGCCATATTCACGTGACATTCACATGAGAGGCAGCTGAGGGTGCAGCATAATCCATCAAAGACTCCCCAGAATGCTCCCGAGAAGCCTTGCACCACAGGATGACATGTGATGCAGCAGATCCAGAGTCTTCTGCAAGAGACTGCTACCACCCCTGGTGGTACATGCCTAGACATTACCACCTAGTCTAAGTATATATTAACTGACCAGATTCTACGCTTTTTGGGGCRACCATCACCACCAAGAAGACCAGCTGGAGACGAACAACACAACATCGCTGGGATCTCTTGATGGTGATATTTTCTTTATTCTATCTATGTAACACTCTGTCCCCCCTTCATCTTTTCCTACTTCTCCCTTTCTCTCTTTTCCTCTCTCTCTCTCATATTTACTATCAAATAAAATGCATACTATCGACTGACATATGGTCTCATTTGCACTTTATTTGGACAGAGGTATTTCTAAGAATCTTAATAATCAGATCATGGCAGGAGTGTTATCAGTGAATCTTTTCCTTTATTTCTCACCAAAAAAAGGAAGGAAGATTTCTTCAATTTGCCAAGGCAGCACCAATTTAATGACAGACAAAAAMCAGTGATTCAGTTGCACAGAGGAACATCACTCATGGCTTCAATACTTCATATTCTGCTATGCTTTTGCTGCTTAAAAAGTTGGAAAACCCTGGGCAAACCACTTCTTTAATATCGTGCACATTATACTATAAATTTTTAAAGAAGGGAGGAATCAACTCTCAGCACCAAGTCACTCTCTCTACACAGTACTAGCTCTCATGCAGTAACGTGCTACTCCTGTACCCTGCATTAAGARCAGAAAACTCTCTTTACTGGAAAGCTTAATAATGGGTGACAATGCTTGCTAACATTCTGGGGCACCAGTTAATAGAAAATCTTTCTCCAAGGACAGGGGGAAGTCATTACAGACATATATGCATACATACATATATATCTATATATATATACATATATACATATATATCACAGAGAGAAAATAAGCATTTATTAGAAAATACCAAAATACAAAACAAAATCATGAGGTACTTTCCCTATAATTTGTATTATTGCAGGAAGAAAACTGTCATGATGTAATCACTGATAGCATTCATAAGGAAATCCATTACAAATTTCAGGTATAGCTGGTTATCTCTTAAAGAAAATGTGGTGTTAAAAATTAAAGTGGATTGTTCCACTGCAAGAAAACACACTTTTTTTTTTGTACCAAACTGCAGCAATTGAATTTTCTGACTAGGTCACATTTCCTCTGAAAACATTCACAGAATCACAGAAGGACCCTGCTTTATAATACCAGCCTATGTCCATACTCACTAAGTCAGGGAAGTTTTTTGTTTGATTGCATTTGCTGGTTTTTTTTTTTTAATCAAGCCACCTCAAAAGAGTCATAGTATTCAATATGAAACAAGATAAATGCAGATTATCTTTGCTTTATTATTCAAGTCAGGGTTACCTATCATCCTGATAATGATTTTAATCATACTTTATGACTGATAATTTAGACTCAGTTGGGTTTGTTGTTTAATTTCTTTCAGAGGGGTGAAGGAGGCTGGGTTGTTTTTTATTTAGGGGGCAGGGGAGAGAGGGAATGGGGTGAGAGCAAGAATTTCGAGTTTGATGATTAATACTTTTAGAAACTATCATCACAAATGCTCTATTTAAATCTTTTGGATCATCCACCTCAAATTATCTGGATTCATCTAGCTTTTCAACCAAAAGTGGGAAAAAAACAAAGTTAGTCTCTMTGAATGAAACTTCTGCCCTACCACCTCACTGAGTTCAGTTCAGGGGTAAGGTTTTTAAGATCTGAAGACTTAAAATATTTCCTAACCTGGGGGTTAATTATTATAGCTTGAAGAGCTGTTTTAATATTAAACACTTCAGTATTTAACCTAAAGTATAGACTATTCATATCTATAAATGAAAAGGATCAGATTGAGAAATTAAAAAAAAATGCAATGAAGGACACAAAGTTAGATTTTGTTTTAAAGTTGAAAAACAGTTCTCAACTGACCTCTTTGTCTGGTGTTGCAGTGCCTTCATCATTCTGATCGGTAAATGAAGTTGTCCTGCTTCTGTTACCAGTTGATGGAGGGGATTTGGAAGAGACCTACAGAGAGATCATGTATATCAACAAGTAATGCTATTAACTCCAGAACTAATTATTTTGTATCATAATTTACTTCAACAATTACTAACTATATAATCTCGGTAAAGCCTAGTCTAGATAGTTTTGAAGAAAACAACCATTTGTGACAAGTTCTACCTTACTACAAGGTCTCCAGAGCAGAATGTGTCAGCCACAAGAACATGCAACAAAATATGTTATTTTGCTTATTTCTGACTATGCTCCTCTGGTACCACATTTGAAAAACAAACCTCCTAATATTTTAGGAACATATTACAGTTGCTTAAGGTTTAAAGGTTTTGTGATTCGACAGGGATTCAAGCATTTACAAGTGGAATAGCATCTGATTAAGAACTTAGAAAATACATATCAAAAATATGACACAAGAAAATTTATAAATCATTTCTAAATTTATGACATTTATAAAATTGAATCTAAACAATAAAAAGGGCAGAAGAAATTGCTACATTTTCTGATGTCAATATGCACTTGTTGTTCCTATCAGAACTAAACATCAATTCACAGAAATTTTAAAACTTCGTGCAGACCAAGGTTCTAACAAGTCATACCAATTCAACACAAACTACCTTGCCAGTCTCATAATTCAAACTTCACTTATAAAATTTCATTTCATAAATGTAATGAGCAATGAAGTATCACCAAGCATATCTATACAAAAAAAGTAATTAGCAAAATCCCTCATTAGGTATTGCAAGAGGCTGGAAGGAATGCGGGCTCTAAACATTTCAGGCACACGTGGGGGAAGGTCAAGCCTTGGTTTGCCGAGGTGATGCCCTGCTCCACACACCCCATCCCTCTGGACCTGTATCTCAGCCCCAGGATCCTGGCACCCAGGAGGCAATGTGCCACACTCTGCCCCTGGAGCCCCAAAGCAGGTCCAGAGTGGCCAGATGACCACAAGTTCCATCTGGGGAGAAGGGCCCAGGAAAGCCAATAGGATTAAGGATATAAGGCAAGCATATGAATGCCTTGACCCTACCTCCTCTGGAATTTCTATCAGCTGAACACTGCTGGAACCAGGAGTGGTAGCTATGTTCATTCTTTTCTATATCAAAATTATTCTAAAATCAGTCACAGGTCTGACAAGGTAGACCAATGTCCCAACCTGAAAATACTACTCAAAAGTCAAACAGCTTACCTAGTACCAAGTAGCTATTCACCATGAAAGCTTTATGTACTGCTGAAAAAAAATCACACTGAAAGTATTCATATAGTTTGTAAAAAAATCCGATCTATTCATGCTGACAGCCTACTTTCCTTTTATTCCTACTCCCTAATCTAATATCACAGTTTTAAAGATTTTTTTTTGATTCATTTGGAAATCAATTTCCTTCTGTATGATAAGGGCCAGAAACATTAATGGACACTTGTGTCACTGCTTAGAAGCAGTATGAACATTATCTTCACTCTGCCCTTAACGGTTCTACAGTTCTCACTGTTGCATTCAGACTTCTTGTCAATTTACAGTCATTTCAGTGGCACTAAGCTGTGCAGCACAAATATTCATTGACCTTATACAAAACCAGAAAGAGCTGAAACAGGATATATAGTTAAATTGGAAGGGATCAACTGCCTGACCAGATCAGGGCTGACTAAAAGTTAAAACACGGCTTTAAGAACACTGTGCAAATGCTTCTTCAGTACTGACAGGGATGAGTGGGGAAGGCATTGACCATCTCTGCAGGAAGCCTATTTCAGGTTTTGGCCACCCTCTGAAGTAAAGTGTCTCCTTCATGTCAAGTCCAAACCTCCCACGACAGAAGCAGCTTTGAGTTATTCCTGAGTGTTCTGACACCATGTACTAGGGAGAAGAGCTCCACCTCTCCACCTCCCCTCCTCAGGAAGCTGCCGCGAGCAGTGAGGTCACCCCTCAGCCTCCTCCAAACCAGGCAAGCCCAGTGCCCTCAGCCCCTTGCCCTGCTTTGGTGCCCTTCACAGATACGTTTAAGTACCTTCCCATCCTTTTTAAGTGGTGAGGCACAGAACTGCACACAGCACCCGAGCTGGGGCTGCACCAGTGGTGAATTCAGTGGGATCATCACCTCTCTTGGCTGGATGGTGATGCTGTGTTTGACGCACCCCAGGACGAGGTTTGCTGTCCTGGCTGCCAGGGCACACACACTGTTGATCCCATTGAGCTTCCTGCCAACCAGCACTCCCAGACCCCTTTCTGCAGGGCTGGTCTCCAGCCACTCCCCTCCCAAGTCAGACTGATGTCTGGAATTACTTCATCCCAGGTGCAGAATCCAGCATTTGGTTGGTCTTGCTCAGTCTCATGTCATCGGTGATGGCTCAATGGTTCAATCAACCCAGATCCCGCTGCACGCCAAAGCCTCTTGTCCCATGGGAGTCAGCAGCACTTCCCAGTTTAGGGTCAGTTTATTCGTGCATTCGACTGCAGCCTCCAGATCATTGATAAAAAGACTGAACAGAATTGCCTCTAGAATTGAGCCCTGAGGAACATCACCGGTAAGTGGTCACCAGCCAGATGCTTTTTCTGTTCCCTGCAACAATTAGAGCCCTGGTCTTCAACCAATTCTTCACCAGTGTACTGCATACCTGCTCATCCCACTGTTGGACAACTAGTCTGGAAGAACGACAGGAAGAACAGTACCAAAAGCCTTTATAAAACCCAGAAAAACCGCATCCACTACCTTCCCTTTGTCTACCAGCCAGGTAAACTTACTGCAGAAGGTTATTTAATCAGTTAAACAGGATTCTCCCTTTGTGAACCCATGCTGACCGTGTCTGATGATTGCACTGTTCTTTAAGTGTCTTTCAATAGCATCCAGAATGATCTTCTTCATAATTTTTCCACGTCCTGAGGTTAATTCTGTAGTTTCCTGGGTATTCCCTCCTGCTCTTCTTGTAACCTGGAATAATGTTGGCAAGCTCCCAGTCAGCAGTGACCTTCCCATATGCCTAAGATGATTAAGAGGGACCCTACCATAAAGTCTGCTAGCTCCTTTAGTACCCTGGGATGAATCTCATAGTCYCTGTGAATCTATAGTCATTCAACTGATGCAATTTACCCCTTAAAATTTCAGTGTTCACAAAGGGAAAGTCAATGCTCCTGCAGTCATGGTCCTCTGACTCAGGACCAGGTAGCCCAAGGTCTGTCAGTACTATTAAAGACTGAGGGAAAGAAAATATTGACCATCCCAATTTTTTCTTAATCCCTATTTGTCAGGTGACAATCCTGGACAAGCATCAGTCCAAGACACCTGTAATTGCAATAGCATTTTTTCCTCCCTGTCAGCAGTCAGAAACAGTTGTGTTCCACAGACTGTGAGGGGCAGGTATTCTCAGTCTGACAGATGACATCAGTTAGCTTACCACTCATATCAAAGACGGAGGCCTACAAACACCTTCTCAGAAAAAAAAAAGTGTTACACTTGAGCAATTTTACATCCAGGTTTACAGCAGTTTTAAGTTAGTAAATTTAGTCTTGGACACTACAAACCAGAGCACAAATGTGAAGTTCTAGGTCTCAAAGTAAGGGATATGAGTAGAGCAGAGAGGGTATAGAGCATAGTGAGTGAAGCCTCTCTACAACAGGSTACAGGAAAGAAAAGAGGTAGGAAAATTTGGTCTGAAAATGTTTTGACATGAAGTAATACATTTAAAGGATCTGAATTACTAAAAGCAAAGGAACAAAAGTATATCCCACACCTTTTACAAGACTATCGTACATTTAATAAGCCTCAAAAGCTCACTTCCTCCTCCTTCATAGAATCTGTTTTCAAATGAGATAAGAGAAGACAAATCTATTTTATTTCTAAGATCAAATTTAACTATTCCCCCATATTGTTACTTGAGAGCAACTGAAGAGTAAGAAATATTGCAAGACAATTATTTTACATGAAAATAAAAATATGTTGTAATTTTTTGCTTCTGCCTTTCCATTTATGTGAACCCTTGAGTTACATGATCTGCTCTGTCCACACTACAGCAGASTAGATCTATAGATAGGGTAAAATTTATCATAAGCTCTCACATCAGGTTTCAAGGTATTTCTCAATGTTAACTTTTCAAGAGCCAGATAAAGACTGAAGTATATTACACTGTTGGGTATACATATGCACTGAGGCTCATACTTATTCAGCAGGATGATTTTCAGCAAGTACCAACTCTTGAACACATCCACTGAGTATCCTGAAATAAGTGGATACATAATACTGTGTGGAAGTGTCATAATTTAGCTGCTGCTTACTGAAAAACATTAAACTCCGCAGCTCAATCTCTTTACACTGCACTGAAAGTTCACCACATATGGCAAGTAAGACAGCACTCTAAGCTGCAACTTAGAGAAGGCGCAGAACTACTAATTATGGAACACCTTTACCTAAGACTCAACAAGTAACATGAAACTTTACAATAGATCCATTTCCAAAGATCCTACCTCTATTTCACAAATGAGTGATTCAAAGAATACAACATAACTGACTGTCAGCAGTTTTGAAACCATGGTCTAATACTGAGAGTATGCAGTGTCAAATCTCCCAGTGGTTCAAATTACACTCAGATCAAGTCCAGGCAACTAATCACCTATTTGTCAAATTAACTAAATTACCTGACTATACCTTAACATTCACAGGATTCAGAGTTTATATCAGTCTTATATTTTTAGATTCCAAGATGCAAAGGATACTTAAGCTAGCAATGACACACAGGCAGACATTATCAGAAGACTTTGCCAATATGAAGTTAACTTGTTGAACTCATTCCAGCCAAAATTTGCTAATACTGCTTGGACACATGCATGCATGAAATCATCACAACGTTTTGTTGCCCACTGTCACTGAGAGAGCTACTCTGCACTCATGTCATATCCAGTGTGTACTATTATCACTTAAAACCAGCCATTTCTACAATCCAACATTTACAGTAATTTTGCAAAAGTACATGCAAGAGAAAAATGGCCGATTAAATTATGACGAGAACAAACACCTTGTTCTCAGCTTTATACTATATTTTCAATTCTTCTACAGTTAAAAAAAAATACGCAACAATAGGGTTGAGGTAAGCAAACCAGCCCTCTAAAAGATGGATACAAAAAGGACTTACTGAACCAAAAGAACAAACATTAATATGGCAGAAAAGGATAGCTAGGCATCTCAGCGCTGGATTGTTTTTCAGTGCACGTCGAAGTGTCATTACTTAACCTGCTAAAGAAGAAACGCATTYATGTTTCATTCTGTTTGATGTTCAAGCAAGAGATGGTCTTTACATTTCTCCACAAAACAGCCTTTGTAAAGTGACCAAAACGAAGCACGGTCTCTGGCAGGAGAAGTATCAAGAAGGTAACAACAAAGTTAGATGTCAAAGTTGCAGAGAAGCCGCTCCGCGGTGACAGCGACTCGGGGCGCGACGCTTGCCAGCCGACCGACCCCGAGCCTTCGGTCGGCCCGGCCTGTGCGGCGCGACCCTCCCGCGGCAGTGGGGCCGGTCCGACCGGCCTGCGGGATGCCAAGGCCTCCCCGGGCAAGGCGCCGTCCTGCCCCGCCGGGTGCAAGGTCGTGACAAGAGCCCAAAGCGGCCCAGCGGACACGTCTCCCAGTAGCCTCTCCCCGCCGTACCTGCGGCGGGAGAGAACTCGCACGTCTCCCCGCTCCGCGCGCCGCCACCTGCTCCTCGCTCATCTTCTGCTTCAGCTTCTTGAACATGGTGGCGGGAGGGAGAAAGGGTACGGCTTCCGGGCCGGCCGATCAGGCGGCGAGGGGCGCCCAGAGGGCGGTAGACCCGATCTCCCCTCGCCCCGGCCCGCTGAGCCACCGCCGCTCCGCCCTCGAACCCCCSCTCCACGACCACTGCGCCTGCGCAGCCAACGTGGAGCCAAGCATTACGCCGGTGTGCGGCGAGGCACAAACTTCCGAACGCAGCGCCCGGCGTTATTCCTCCCACAGCGTAGGCGGAAGTGCGGCCCGGGCGGCTCTGGGCGCCAGGACCGCGGTGGGGCGGAGCGGCGCTGCCTGGCCTCACTTGCTTCACCTCTCCCGGCGGACGCGGGAGGCGGTGCCGTCCTGGTAATGGAACGGGCGGAGGAGTGGCCGCTTCTGTCAAGGGGGAGGAAAAACGGAGCGGTAAAAGCCGACGCCTCGCTGCGCCTTTCCGCCGCCGTAGCCGTGTAATTCCGTACCTTAAACACCCCCACCGCGACGCTTGATTTTCCAGAATGCTGACCCTGAGGGTCACTAAGCCCTCGSGTGAGTCCTCCTGAGTTGGTCAGCGACAGAGTCGAGGACAAGCTTTCACAAACCAAAGAATCCAGCGGCAAGCTCGTGAAAGTTTCCCTCTAAAAAAAAAAAAGTCCAAAAGTTGCTTTTTAAAACTGCCTGAAAACCTATCTGCTGATAAGACTGTCGCGATGTTTTCGTTTAGTCCACCCTGAAACCTTTTTGCGTAGTCTTCTGTTTGTAGACATGAGATACACTGTTATAACTGAAGTACCTCTGAAGGAGGAAAGGCACTGTTAGCTACTAATATTGTTGCTACTGCCTCCGTGAAACTAGGGCGGAAATGTTCTTGGCTGCTTTAGATCCCTTGTTGGATAACATTTATGCATGTGTGTTCAGTGCTGCCGCTGTAGCAGTAGAGGACTGTCAGCGTAGCTAGCATTCATTCTCCAACAATGGGACTACTTTGAAACTTACTGCGCTGACAGTAACATTGTATAAAGGCTGAAAAGTGCATGGTGCTGTTTGCAAGAAACTATGAACCACGTTGTCTTCTGTACAGCTGCCTACTAAGGAGGCTGTATGCAGTAATCACAAATGTCCAGAAATGTTTTCACTGACGCTCATGAAATCTCTTAAGTAATTTGAGGRGGAGAAAGTGGATGGGAAATGATTTGCCCATTTGCTGTTACACTGAGTAAAAAAATAAGCAAGATACATCTACAGCAAAAAATAAACTGCAGGTTTTTCTATTTTTTTTTTTTTGCTACAGTTTAAACAAAAATGTTTTTCACCAATCTGTTTAGTTGTAAATAAACTAAGACTGATAGTGAGTGATCCTTTTTCTGTGTATGTTCCTGTTAAGACTAGTCAGCATGCTTCAGATGACATCAATGACTTGCATACTCTATTCATTGTTGGTGAGAACAACTGCCTTCAAACACCCTCAAAAATTTAGTCTGAACCTTATAAGCTGTAACAGCTAGGTAAGTATCTCGAAGATTTGTAGGGTATCTTTTGTATAGATTGAAGGAGAGGTATAGGAAAAAGTCTCTAGGACCAAAAGGGCAAAACCATCTGAATAGCTGTCCATGAAGAAATGAGATAAAATGGGCAATGAAGTTTATTGCATCCATAAAAAGTAAACATTGTTTACTTCAGTGAGGTAGCTTCTGTTCCCTCTAAATATAACATGCAGCAGCATGGCTGTAAAATTCAGAGGTTATCAAGTGAGAGGAGCATTGCCTGATGAATGCTYTAGGAAACACTTTAACAACTTTCAGTAACCTAATGAATCCATGATCCTCTCAAACCTATGTTCTCTACTAGAAATGCTGGCTCATATTCTCTTTTTCAGTTCAGATTACTCTTCTGATTCAAACCTAAGTCACTAAATGTAGTATGTGAATTTGATGGACAGATGCATAAGGACACTATCTCCTATAGCTATCAAACAGAAAAGYACAGCTTTTAAAATTAATTCATAAAATGTATACAACACAAAAGAGGTCTGTATTATTTCTTTGGAAAATTTAAAGCTTGAGATGGTATGTTCTGAATGTTCTCATTATACCCATGTTTTTGTAGGACTAAAGGCTATGTGGAAGAGAACAAATTTGAGACTAAAAACTATGATTAAAAAAAGTAATTGTTTCCTATGCTAAAGTTTTAGTTACTACAGAAAATGGTAAGGGGATTTATTAATTGAAACTATTAATGGGTTGCAATAATATTAATCTGATAATCATATCAGAATAATTTGATATTTTCTAGGGGACTTTTTTTCTACAGCAAGGACTTTTGTTGTGTAAATTTCAAGGTACTTAATCATCTCCTGGTTTTCACAGGAGGTGCCTAACCTGGGTTTTAGAAAGACACTAAATAATTTGTATGTATCATTTAATTATATATAGGTTGGTGGCATTTAGGAAAATCAAAGTGAATTTCTGTGCTTTTAACCCGGTATCTTTTGTGATACATGGCTATATGTCTAGTATTGCTCCAATAGTACCAAGTGGTATCCCACATTAAGCAAGCAGCAGTATACAAATTCTGAAGATATATATGATAACTCTGTAAAACCCAGCATGAACCACCTAAATAGGCTTTAAATGTTTTAGCATCTGGGCAAACTTCATTAAAACATATTGCAATATACAAAGCATTTACTCTAAAGCATTTACTTCTCCACAGAAATTCTGGGAGAAATGTCTCAAACGACATTCTTACATGCAGAATGTCAAAATCCCATACTTAACTGAATGGTACCTTATTTTTAGAGGGTTGAGCTGATCCTAGCAGATTTATTTGCAAAATTAAAAGTAGTAGCTGAAAGTGAAGATATGCCCCTCCTTTTTTATCTTCCTTGAGTACACCAATTAACATAAATGAAAAAAGGAGAAATATGACATTATAATACTGTCTGCAAAAGATAAATGTATACCTGCAAAGGCAATAGTTATGSTAGATAATTAAGAATAAAGGTCTGTTTCAAATTAAAACTGTAGCAGTCGTTAAGGTATTTCTATGGAGAAGGGAATAGTGCATAAATGTAAAAGAAGTCTAGATTTCTCTAATTGTCAGCAACACTGGCTCACACATGCCTGCCATCTCATTCCTTGCCTTTTGCTGGCTTCAGTACTTGTCAGTCTATCTCCTTAGTAATTTCTGAGTGATCAGTCTCCAGAAAACTAACCTGGCAAAAGAGCAAGTAATTTCTGCTGACTTACGGTGCTGAGTTTCCCCTGGGAACCAGAGCTGCTGTAAGGAGACAGAGGCAGTCACAAGCTGGATGGTTTTATGTTGCAAGTTATTTCAGATTGCTCACAAACATACAGTCTTCAGTGAGCAATTTGCTTAACTTTCAACTTAAGTAATCTGATTATGTACTTCTTCAAGTTCAGCTAACAAGCAACGCTGTTACTGGAATTATTGACACTATCTCAACTACCTTAGTTGCTACTGAGGCTGAAGTATTCATGTATATAGTCTTTAGCCAATCTAATCTAACTTTTAAAATGCTAAGATTGTAGCTTTCTGAAAGTCATAAAAAAGCCATGGACATAAATTTGAATATGGCTTTCAATACACTTCTCCACACATTCAAATCCAAATACTTTATGAAAGACATATGAATTTGCTAGCAGCTAGTTCTTTCAATCTAGTTATCCAACACAAATATGTTACATAGAAAAATGTAACATAACATATGTAGCATTTCTGATAACATTTTAATGTTGGTTCCTATTTTTTTTTGGAGAGGAGTTTTGAATTTTTCTTTACTTCATCATCATGCTGTTCATGTTGAATAATAGGTGTTACTTAAAATTAACAAGAACTAGTAACAGAGTAAAAATACCTATTAAGAAGGGAGCACTGATCATGTAACAGGGAGTTACTGTCCAGAGCTTATGTACAAACCACTGTTCTTTATACACAGTTTATGGAGTGTTACTCTATTTGGTAATATTTGCAGGTTCTATTCCTACTCCTAAAATACAAAATATTATTATTGTTGATGTTAAAGTAGTCAGGGAGTGTGTCATGCATGGATGCACAGTGCATGATAATCTGTGCATGGTAATCAGTTTCAGTTCAGAAGTGTTTTGATCTTTACTTCAGCACCAAGGTTATGAAACGCAGCATGCTACCTGACACTGCAGTGAAAATTGGGGTAGCTCATTTTACCTGCAACCTACAGAAGGAGAAGTAGTTGTGCAAAGGGAATCCTTTATAGTGCTGTGGTTAGAACCCTAAAAGCTTTATTATGAATAAAAGGGATAATCAGAGCATTTTTCTACATCCAGTTGCTAATTTTACTTTTATATTTAAATGTTGTGACTTACAACCACCACCAGATGACACTGTTCTAGATTATAGCTATGCCTCTGTACAATCATTGTCAGTATTACAAATGCAAAAGTATACCAACAATGAAATGAGAGTTTAACACCATTCAGATCAGGGAACAAACAAAATGCGAAGTTTCTATGTCAG